TGATTGATAGAAATTGAATTCGAAGACAGTTGATTTGTAGTGTAAATCCTGAGAGAAAGAAAATCGAGAAACGAAATTCTCAGCTTTAATTGTACGTAAATCTATTGCATAATTAAACTACAAATTCTGTTCAAAGTTGAATTACAGATGATTATATTAAATTACTAAAAATTAAGCTCCTGCCGTGGATTCTGCGTGAAAGTCGAGAATAAAATTATTATTCCACATCTTCCAAAAAAAAAAAAAAAATTGTGTGTGTATATATATATATATAGAAAGTGTTACATATCGGTTATTGTACACGGTTTGGTCACTCGTTATGGTCCGCGGTCAGTTGCCAGCGCAAGTGATTGATAGAAATTGAATTCGAAGACAGTTGATTTGTAGTGTAAATCCTGAGAGAAAGAAAATCGAGAAACGAAATTCTCAGCTTTAATTGTACGTAAATCTATTGCATAATTAAACTACAAATTCTGTTCAAAGTTGAATTACAGATGATTATATTAAATTACTATATAAAATTAAGCTCCTGCCGTAGATTCTGCGTGAAAGTCGAGAATAAAATTATTATTCCACATCTTCTAAAAAAAAAAATTATTGTGTGTGTGTGTGTGTGGATATATATATATATATAGAAAGTGCTATTTATCGGTTATACGTGTATAAGGAGAGACTCGACGAGCAAAACAAAAGAGGCCGCAGGGCAAGGATGCGTAAGGCCTTTTTTGGTGATATTTGCCGTGTATTGAAGAGTGGTTCTGGTCAGGCCGGTCTCGAGACGACCGGATTTTCAAAGGTTGCCCGCAGCTCAGAAACAACCTGTCCTGTTCCCATACCGGACTAGTTTATCGACCGGCTCCTCGCCTCTCTGCTCGCCTCTCTGGCTCGCTCGATTTCCGAGCACAACGCCAAAGAAAAGGGACAAAAGAGAAGGAATTCCTGTCTTCTCGTTCTTCCACCATCTCCTCACCTCCGTTGGATCAATCATTTCTCCCCTTCCAACCGATTTTTCATCCGCTCGACTAGCTGAACGAGCTAAAAATCTCCGACCTCGGCTTGTACCTCGATCGAATTTTTCTTTCGCGTCTTTCTTCCGGTTTTCGTCGATCAGAGCAACTTCTTGCCGAACGAAGAGACAGATTCATCGCAAGTTGGAGAAAAGTCGAAATTTCATTCTACGAAAACGAATAATTAAAATCAATTGAACGCGAAGAAGAAGTTTGACTCTCTCGAATTCGTATCAAACTTTTCCGGGAAGTTTTGTCGCGGGATTTTATTGTAGGCGAGAGTTGCGAAGGAAATTGGTTCTCGAAGATGTTATTAAACATCGAGTGGCAATGTTTAAATTAACGTGACGTAGTTTCACCGTGGCTACACGTGTTCTTTTTTACTTTCTCGTTCGAGCGGCACGAAAGTTGGAAAACTGGCGTTCACAATGCCGCATAAAACTTTGCCCATAAAATTAAAAGTTTCGCCGGCGAGCGAATCCTACGGTTTGACTCTAAAAACCTCTGGAACTCTAACGTTCCCTACACAACGGCCACCGCTCCAAAGAAAGTTTCTTGCTCTTGATTTATGTATAACTGTTCGCTCGAACCTGTTCCTGCCCCGTTCGGCCTATTTCCCTTCCTTTTATTGCCACCAGTCCGCAAGATTACTTCCTAAGACGTTATACTCTTCCGTGGGTACTAATTTTGCCGAACGGCACGTATAATTTTAATTCAGTTTCACGTAAACGGGGAAACGAGATTAAAGTGCTCTTTGAAAGCTATTTTGAAAGTTTCTTTTTTCTAATTCTACGCGAATTCAAGATCAAAATGCTTGATCCAATGTTGGAGAAAGAGATAAAAACTTAACCTAACCTGACAATGAGAATGTCGCACGAGCTTCTTCGATTGAGTTTTAATTTGCATAATTAACGACGCTCGTTCACCGATGATAGAAAAGAAACAAACGATCGTTCGCCGATCGAGACGAAGAAACGCAAAAGGAAACGACGCGGTGTCGTTTTGAATAAAACCGCACGAGCGACGGTCTATCACGAGCAACAAGAATGTCGACACGACGATGATAATTGCGCCGAAGACGGAAAACGCTGGTCGACTTATGCAGATCGAACGAGTCAGCCGCTCGCTTTTTTTGCAAATGTAAATCGCCTCGGATACAGAAACTGGTTCCGGTACGTACGTACGTCTAACCGCGGTAATAATAAGCCGAAGTTCTTGGAACGGATATACATGTATGTGTACAGGTGTGTTGAATCTTCGGGTTCGGATCCTGCATCTCGTTTCTCCTCTTCCTCTTAACCCCTTGCGTTGGCAACTGGTTGCGCGCGGACCGTAACGAGTGACCGAACCGTATACACGATAATTCGTCGCTTTCTTCTTCTTTTGAACTCGTCGATATGATATCACTGGATGGAAATTATTAAGAAGCAATATACTTGTACTTAAAACTGAGATAATGTTGCAATTTGGGAGGAAAAATTGTCGACGTGCGTAAAAGGTTTGGGTTAGGTTTGCTATTATGTCACAACTCATCGTTCTTCGTTGCCTGGTTTCATAGTCGGCTGGACCCTTCCCCTGGGATGCTTGGCGCATACTGTTTTACTTTCAAATTTCTACAATTTGTCGTTGCAGACACTTGAGAACAGCTCGAATGACACTTTAACGATAGAGTTTGTTTCAGAATTACTGGAATTACCAAAATGGTCAAAATGGCCATTTATAGATAAAACAGTGTATTTTTCTAAAATACACAAATAAAGTGTACTCTGTTGTATCATAAGAATTGAATTGAAATCTTTTACTTTATCCAAGGGAAACTTTTAATCGTCGGTGGTTTCAGTGTTAAATAATTCTTGCTACTCTTTCTGTTTCTGAATCTGCAGCGTGAAGCTTGATCTAACCTAGAAATGCAGGAAAGTTAAGGAATTGGCACATTCTGAACGCGATTGTTAAAAAAAGAAATTCACAAATTCCAATTATAAATCCACGAGCTGTTGGATGAATCTCTTTAACGTTACTCGCAAGAGCATGGAACTGTACAAAAATCCAAGTCTCGTCGTCGCGCAGCAAAGGAGGAAACTCGGGTCTCGCAAGGAAAGAAATGAAATACCACGTTAACATTGGAAGGAAAATCAATTTGCCCTCGGTTGATTTCCTACGAAGCTGCGACTCGAGAGATCGAACAGCAATACGTGTTCACACGATAATAATACGTAGTCTCTGTGCAATGGCGCGGATCGGAGTGGGTTTGCATCGGTGCGGAGAGTCGCAAGGCAAACACAGAAGCTCGATAAAAGATAACCTCCCTCCCCCGTTCGTGGCAACGATAACGACAGATCTCTTCGAGCGAGCGCGAGCAGAGAGGTTCCCAAAGCGATCCCGAAGGAACGCCTGTTCGTTTTGAAAAATGCTGTTCGCCTCAAACGTTAGCGAAACGTGAAAAATAGCACGGCGGAGGAGAGCACGATGGAAGAAACGGCGAGTAGGCATTTATCATCCGCAGATCCAACGCGTTTGCGCACGTAACAGTATAAATAACTTGCGCAAGCATTAATGAATGCTTATCTAGCTGAGTCCCCACCGTTAAAAAGTCACGATATGCACGCCAGCCACCGTCGACGTTATTATCGCGACTCTTTTAATACGAGTGCATGCACCACACACACGCGTGCAGACGAGAGCACGATAGAGACGATCTCTCTCTCTCTCTCTCTCTCTCTCTCTCTCTCTGTGTGTATTTTTGTACACACAGCTTAACGGGCTGCTAAGTTTGCTCGATGTCGTCCGGCGAAGCGAAATAAAAGCTCTTCTCAACGGTAAAAGTCGATTTCGTCGTTGACCGAGCGACTGACCTTTGGAGATTGCGGGTCAGACGATGCATGAGTCACGGGGTTCTCTCGCGTCTTACGCAAACGTTTTTTTTTTTTTTTCTCCAAATATGCGTGGCGCGCTT